CCCTAAATCCTAAACCCCAGGCCATCATGGGAGCAGGCGGATTCGCGCTTCCCTGGGCCTTTGCTCGCCTCGGCTCAGCTGGTGGCGCCCGGGTCGTCTTTGATGGGTTTAGGGTATAGGGTTTANNGGTTTAGGGTTTCGGGTTGAGGATTCAGGTCTGTCGGGGCTTGGGGTTTAGGGGGTTGGGTCTATTTAGTAGGCTTAGCAAGGATTTAGTGGGGTTCTAGAAGAGGGTAATGATGCTACACTGAGGTTTCATAAGGATTTAGCGAGGACCAAGGGTCTATTCCTACAGGGTGGGTCGTCAGAATGGTCGTTTTGGGACCGTCGTGGGGACCCTATGTCATACGGCCCCTTGTATCTAGGGTACTCAAAAATGGAAAACTTTCCATGGAGGACCCGCAGTTTCAATTTCATCTTCCATTTAATTTTTCATTTGAATGAACCATTCTGGAGTAAATGCGCCTAGACCCCTTCCATTTTCTTTTCTACCACCCCTATATAAACCTACATAATCCCTATACATTCCCATCTAGCTCCATATAACCCTATATAATTTTTATAATCCCCATACGTCCCTATCTGGCCCCACATGAACTCATCTAACCTCCCTACATTATTAAGCCCCATATAACCCTATACAATCCCCTTGGCAAAGGAGGCGCTGCGCTCTTTGCTTCCGCGATCCTGGGGCTCCTCGCACTGCGAGAGTTGGCCGCACTGAAGCAGCATGTGGAGATCCAGCGGACACTCGGAACGTGTTGGTAGTTTCCCTGAATAGCGGGACCCCATATAGTCCCAACGTACGATACTTCTTACTACAGGATGTATAGGGTCCCTTCAAAGGGGTCATAGGGATTTTGGGCGTAATTACAGGCTAGGCAAATGGAAGAGCACATGGAAAATGACATGGAAATTGGGCCTTGTACGGATGAATAGGCTTTAGGGTTTTACTCTCTGGTTGTTAGTAGGGAATGAGGGACTGGCAAGGACAGTGGGAACTAGTACATTGTTGGGGTTTTAGGGCTGTGTTAAGGAGTGTAGATTATTCGTCATGGCAACCTCCCAGGAAAGTGCTCATGTCAGCCTGGAAGGCCAGCCATTTGATTGTAATAGTAGCTGTTACAACTGATGAAAGTTGACATGGTAGTTGCACAATGTAGGGGTTATGTTCGGGATATCTACCCCAATAATGGAAAATCAAACGGAAAAGCAAGCGGACAATGAAATGGACACTGGATTTATCTAGTGGTTTTAGGGTATGTGGCAGTTGCCCAAAAGGGGTGGAGAACCCCAACATAGATTCCAAAATAGCACAATCCTTATTACAGCGACCCCAAAAGGTACCGCTGAGGGATCCAGCCTGAAGGCTAGGCCTGTGTAGTATGACAAAGCAAGGAACACGGTTGGAGCCACGTACGTGGACGTGGCTCGTGCAGCTTTGGGTGAAGCAGGTGCTTTGGCCGTGTACGGCCTGTCGATAATGTGCTCTGTGGGTGTTACGTCTGCCTACTTGGCTTTCGTGGCATCCACTCTGGAGTCACTTTTTCCCACGAGAAGCTACAGCCAGTGCTTACTTTCCGCTGCTGTGTTCGTGCTGCCAACCACGTGGCTTCGTGATTTCTCACTGCTCTCGAAGCTCTCTCAGAGTGGGACGGCGGCGGTACTCCTAGGATACCTGGTGACTATCCAGTCCGGGTCCTCAGAGCCCGTGGGCTGGTCAGAGACACAGTCCCGGTATCACTGGAGCCTGGGACCCAGTTCGTGGCAAGACCTTGCACAAGGCTTCGGCCCTGTGGCCTTCCTTTTCTGCATCCACTTCCTCCTATTTCCAGTGATGACCTCAGCCAGGTCATCAGCTGCACCAGGAAAATTTGTGCAGCTGGCCACCATCGCATTTCTGTGTGCTGGACTCATCAACGCCGCCTTTGCATACACCTGCCTGGCTTTCTTCGGACCCCATGTCTCCTCCATCGTGCTGAATGACCTTAGCCAGGGGACTGTCTACCTGGTGGCTACAAAGCTATTGCTTTGCGCGGACCTCCTGTGCTCCTACCCTCTGGCTCCTGAGCTCAGTTATAGGGTTAGGGATTGGGTTTAGGGTTTAGGGTTTAGGGTAGCATGTATCCATACGGGGGTTTCTCAAAATTGGGGGTACCTTTGTTGGGGGGATTCCAATAATAAGGACTAGAGCTTATGGGTGTCTATACTGGAGTCCCCCGACTTATGGAAACTGACATATTCTCGTGATGTGAGCTATAGTCTAAGCTCCTTACAGGGGGTTATACAGGGGAGTATTGTAGGAGCTATTTAGGGGGATACTTGGAGGCCCTAAACCCTAAATCCTAAACCCTAAATCCTAAACCCTAAGCTCATGTAATGTGAGTTCCTTAACAGCAACCCAGGTTTTTGCCGCGGGCAGGGAGATTGTCGAGCGTTCCCTTTTCGAGGAGGCGGTCTACCAGACCCTTCCGCACAAGGAGGTGGCGGGGGATGTAGGGGTTTCCCGAAATGAGGGGTACCTGTAAAGGGAATATAGCGATTATAGAGGGGGAAATATCAGGATTCCTAGGGTGTATATAGGGGTTTCCGAAAATTAGGCGTACCTTTTGGGGGTACCTATAGTAAGGACTGCAGTATTTTGGGGGTCTATATTGGCGAGTTTTCTTATTTTGGGAAACTACCATGTTTCAAAGCACTGCTATCTACCTGGACGCTCACCGTATTTAGCATAATAGCATTAGTGATTATTTTTCGGATTTTGGGCAGTACTTTTGGAGGTCCAGGCTTGCATAAGCAAGAAAACAGGAAGATGCCTGTTGAATTCAGTCATCCAGCTGCTAGGTGAGGTTCCTCATTTTTCAAATCTTATGCAAAACATGGTCTATTATTCCCACTCCTAGTCTCAATGGCTTTACTTGGGAGCTAGCCTGCACAGTCCATCGACCCTGAACCTGAATCCCCGGACCCGGGAACAGAAACTCTACACCCTGAACACTACCAGTAAAATCATGCCCAAACTTCGAGAACAAAAAAAGTGCCATTTTTCTACCTTTGTTCAGGGGTCCAGGTAATCCCTAAACTCTGAACTTCAATCCCTAAACTTAAAACCCTAATCCCTAAGCCCTCGGTCAGGTTCTGAAGGAGGCGCCCAGCCCCCGCCTGTCAGGGCCAGGGCTGCTGGTGGCCTGGATAAACAAGCATCAGATATAGAGTTTAGGGCGTTTTAGGGTTTAGGTGGGGGACAAGCAGAACTTTTCAGGGACTGGCACCTCCTGGATTCCAGTACACCAACAATTCAGGAGCCTATTAGATGATTAGCAAAATATTCTGGCCCCCGATTCCTTGTATGAACATGAAATTTTGGGTTTAGGGTTTAGGGGAGTGTGCCTCAAAGAGACTTCAACTTGATATTGGTACTTAGTATCCACGCCGCTACTTTAAGACTCTAGCCCTCCCAATGCAAACCAGGTGGTAGTTTCCATGCATAATTAGGGGGATTGCAATCCAAGCATCCTCATTCTGGGGTCCCACAAAAAGGTCCCCAAAGTTCCGGAAGTCCCCTCATATGGGGAGAAAGAGAGCCTTTTGCAGGGTAAACCCTTAAACCCAAAGATTTGGGGGAGCTCTGCTCTCTGACATATAGGCCCTTGCCAATTCCTCCTGAACCCAGCAGAGCCCAGTGTTCATTTCTTCTTTGAGTCTAGTCCACGTCTAACCCTACATGCTCTGCACATCTGGGGTTTCCACAGTTAGGGGGCCAAAATATGGATGTGTGCTGTGGTTTATAATTCTTCTTGCAATGCAGTATACTGTAGCTCATACTCCTTGTTGTAAGGACCCCCCCAAAAAAAGGGTGGCTCCTCCCCCGTATCATTCTGAAAGAAATTTGGGCCTTCAGGTGGATGGCAGACGCTGCGGTCTCAGATTCATGCTGGTGGCGACCACAGTGGCAGTGGCCCAGCTGGATTTTACGGCCATCCTGTCCCTGGTTGGTGGTGTGGCGCAGGCGGTTTAGGGTTTAGGGGCAATCCCCTTGATGGGAGTTTGTTGAGTGTTCCTTACATCATCCTTAGCCAGAATTGCGATGATCCCACATAATCCCGATATGCTTTGGGCCCAAAAGTAGGAAACATGGTCCAAAACCTCTGCGTAGCAAGGCCATTATTCTAATTACTTCTGGGGATCAGATAGATCTGAATTTTGGATGCGGTAGTGTTCATAAAGAGGGAGGCCCCGCTAGTATGGACCCGAATAACATAATCCTTCTTATGGTGACCCCCGAAAAGGGATCCCTAATTCATGAAACCCTTTAAACCCCAAACCCTAAACTCTAAACCTAAGGCCTCCCATCTTTACAGCAAGCAAGCAGGTGTTCCTCGCCTTTGTGCTGCCCCCTCTGATGGCGATTCGGTTCATGGGGAGCATCATGGGCATCTGGCACGCTGGCTGAAGTTTAAACCCTAAACCCTAAACCCTGGGCATGTTTCCTGGGTTTTGGGCCGCGAATTTACTTGCTCTTGGGGTGCAGGGCTGGTCAAACCTCAGACCCTACTTGGAGGTTCATGGGACTCAGTAACTATTTATAACTGGGGTTATAACCCTACTTATAACTGGGGTAACCCCTTTAAGGCCATTTAGGGGGGTTAGAATTAGGGTTATAAGCCCAGTTATAAGTAGTTACTAAGTCCAATGAACCTTCAAGTACACATGAAATCAGGAACGACTAGCCCTGACACCTGTGCGAGAACCAACGTCAAACCCGTAGAGGTTGGAACCCTCATAGCTAGGGTTTAATTTGGGGATACTATGGTACCCAATAATGGAGAATCAACTGGAAAAGAAAACGGAAAATGAAATGGAAACTGGGGTTATATAGGGGTTATATTGGGGATGTAGTGTGTTATTTGGGTATACTTGCCATAGTCCCCAAGATAGAGTAAGATTATATCCTGATTTTGGGTAATTATGTGTTAAATATTTTCATCTTGCTTGGTTTAGCCACCAACAACAACGCTACTCAGATGGACATCTTGTCAGGGTCAGTCATTCTGCACCTGTGCAATAGCCTTGCTGTCCTCCGCCCCCACATGAGCCATAGTCTAAACTCTTAGAATCCCCCTTAATAACAACTATAGTAATCCCCTATCTGACCCCTTAGGCCCTAAACCTTAAACTCTACTCCCTAAACCCTAAACCCCTACAGAAATCCTTTCAAGAGATCAGACCATGGTTCACATGTGAAAGCTAAAGCCCCAGCCCCGAAGCCCTGTGTTTCCAAACTTCTCATTTTCAGTCCTACACTCTACACATATGCAACAAATAGAAATCAGAGGAGGGATGTATTGGGATAATGGAAAAGAAAATGGAAACTACTATTTAGGGTACAAGAAAAAGAAAGAGAGAGAGAGAGAGAGATTGTCCATTACTGTTGTGTTGGGCCTTTCATAGTGTCTTCCGGTTTGGACACATGGCCGGTACCTCGGGCGTCCCGGATGGGACCGTGTGATTGCAGGACACTGGGCTCGGAGCACTGACCCAGATTGTCTGAGATTGTTCTTTGAAGGAAATAGTAGCCTCCATTTTCTTTTCCAATATCCCCAAGACAGGGTGGGGGGAGAGCAGCACAAGAGATTTGTTGCGGCAGGGCAGCTCTTCCTCAGCGTTCTGCTTGTTTAGGCATGTACCACTTTGCATTTTTTCCGAGTGCCTGTTTTGGCGATGGTTGTTTCGTACGTGGGAGCCACCTGATGTCTGCAAGGTGCTGGGAATGGCTGAGGTAAACTGGGAACCGCTCGCACAATAGATCTATGTTTGCGGGGCTGTTTTTTGTGCAAGCGGTATCGCGCTACACTCAGGAGATTCTTGTCTCATGCGCCGGGAGATGTCGGGGCGCTCATGCGTGGGGGGAACCAACTCCCCTCAACCTGGAAAGACAAAGGAAGAGAGAGAGAGAGAGAGAGACAGAGAGGAACTCCCCACTTCCCATCGCCCACGGACGGAAGAAGAAAGACAGAAAAACGAGAGAGAGACAAGAGAGGTGGGAACCAAAACACTAAGGCGCTTGATGGGCAACCTCCTACTGCTTGTAGCTGGCTTGGCTGCCGTAACAATTTCCTTGTTCGCCAGTCTTATCCCTGCAAAGCAGGACTGAGCCAAAGGAGCCAAAAAAGGGACTCACCCTGACGTTGAGGTATGAGACATAGTCAAGACTCCATAAAAGGGGGTTATATAGGGGATTATATAGGGGACTACTATAGGGGTTATTAAGGGGGATACTAGGAGTATAGACAATGGCTCATATAACTGAAATCACCAACAAGTAAGAGCATGGTGACAGGGGAAGTACTATTTGCTCAGTGTTGCAAATTGGGCATCAGCGCTTCCTCTGCTTCAGCAGCTCACAGTGTAGCGCCACGATGTCGGCTCTACTAGCTCTGTTGCTGCTTTGCCAGGACATTCCTTGTACCCTTAATTCATATTATGAGGCCCTACTTGTAGGTACTTAGGCCTAAACAGAGGGTAGTCGCTGCCATCAGCCCTATTGCACCGTCAAGGTTTCCTTTTACACCTCTAGCTCATCCGCAATCATGAATTGCAGGACTGGTGTGTTGCCAATATTATAGATATGTATGTATATATACATATTCATATACATATATATACATATACACATGTATGGGAGTTTCCTAACGTAGGGGACGCCAATATAGACCCCAAAATGCTACAGTCCTTATTATTGAGACCCCCAAAATGGTACCCTGAAAATGGTACCCCTAGTTTTAGGAACCCCCTATGTATATATATATATATACATATATGTATACAACATCGAAAAAGCCCTTTCCTGTTGGGATCTGCTCGTTTTCCGAACCTCCAAGTCAGGGCACAGCACGATTAAAAGCGGACAGTGCCATGGCTTTCATTTTCATTTTACTATATGAGCCATAGCCTAACCTCCTTAAAGGGTGTTATATAGGGGATTCCCGGGGATTTTATGGGGGACTACTATAGGGGTTATTAGGGTGGATAATTAGAGTTTAGACATAATACTTTTGGCATTCAGGTAGAGCCTACGCATCCGCTAAATCCTATACCCTACACCCTAAACCCTTAAGCCCTAAACCCTAAACCCTTAGACCTTTGAATTTCTTAAACCCTAAACCTTGAAGCCGAATCCCTTAAACCTTAAACCCTGAAGCTTAGACCACTAAACCCTAACCCCCCCAAACCCCAGATACTAAATCCTTTAACCTTAAACCCCAAAGCCGCAACCCTAAACCTAAAGCCTATCTATCCCCCATTTTGGCGATGGTCTCAGGCAGGTTGGGGGTGCAGCGAAAGGCCACGCTTCTGCTTGATTCACAGGTTAAGGTTTAGGGTTTACGGTCTACGGCTACAGAGCGCAGGGTTCAGGGTTTAGAGTGTCAAGTTTCACAGGTTTTGAGGAGCTCTTTGCCCTTTTTTTGGATCCTAAGTTCTTTATACAAAAGACTTCAAAAACAGTGACCTTATTAGTCCTAGGTTCATCATGGCACCCTAGTTCATCATTGTTGCCTGGAAATGTGTTTGCTTTCATACACGGGGGAACTCTTAATATAGACCCCAGGATGTCATCATCCTTATTTCGATAGCCCTCGTTATGCGAAACCCCTGAACACAGGGCATCTTTCGAGCCCTTGTTCTCAAGCGCTTGGGTTTTGGCATGGAGGAGCTACAAGTTTCCAAACCGGCTTAACTTACATGGTCTATGCCAGCCCCAGAATTCGCCCTAAGCCGGACTTTCACTTTTTCTACAGATGGGAATTTCCGACCCTAAGTACCGTATATTTTGGGAATAATGGCATTACTACTAGGGTCATGCAGGATTTAAAGATCACCAATACCATAGTATTCATTGCTATACTGCGTCTACGCTTGCAAAGGGCACCATGTTGTAAGTCGGAACAAGTCTCAAATGTGTTGACAACAACTCTAGAACTTCTTTCTGGCTAGGTAGCCAATTCGCATGGCATTCTGCCTTTCATCTATACCTCTATAGTGTCCTTACAGGTAGCCCTTGGGGTTCAGGGTTTAGGGTTTAGAGATCCTAGACCCTGAACCCTAAACCCAAATCCCGAAAGTCTGGCCAGACCACGTGGAGACAACTCTGGTCGCAGAAGCTCCTGCACAACTGGCGGCGGAGGCCACCCATCTTGGATGTTGCGGACTATAGGACTTCTGGTAGAGGGTTTAGGGTTTAGGGTTAGAGGGTTTAGGGTCAGGGGGACTTATATAGTATGTAGGCTACTAGTGGGGATAAGGGGGGTTATTCTATATTCTATGATTCATGGATGTTATATAGGTATGAATACTAATTCCTGCCTGGTGAGCCCGCAAGTAGGACTTGGGTTTTTGATATGGTCGGAATCATGACAGCTTTGTAAAGGTTAGCTCAGAAGCAGGAAATTAGGGTGTACAGGCGTGACATTCTCCTAACACCCTAACCCTTGAATCGTGAGGTTGCTGGTTTCCGTAGTGCCGAAGATTTGGATCCGGAACGGAGTATCTTTCATATGCTTGCCATGAGTATGAGTACTTGGACCCCAGGGTTTGTAGAATAATGGTTTTGTTGACTGCTTGCAGGGCTTTTGGACCATTGTCTTACGCCTCTGTTAGTAGCAGTAGCACAGCATGCGTATGATTGCTAGTGCTCTGTTAGTCTTGTTGTCGCAGCTTTTGGTTGTGTCAGCTCCATTACCGAATTACTCTATGGAGGATCAGCAGAACACATATATATATATATACACTTAACATATACTCGCCAGAGCCTAAATGACGATTGCCAGGAGTTCACAATCACAGTGTGTGATTGTATACTGGAGCGTTAGGTTCATTGTAAGGGTGCTTTTCAGATGGGCTAAGGGTTCCGGAAGCAGGGGGTCCCCTTACATACCCCAATACACTATGATCCTTATTATGGGTACCGTTCCAAAAGCACCCCTAATTCTCGAAAACAGGCATGTAGGGTCTATAGGGCTAAGGGTGTGACATCGGACTTGCTGAAAGCAAGCCTTGTTACATCGCTAACTGGCCTCCTGACACTGTAGGGTTTAGGGTTTTAGGGTTTAGGGTTTAGGGTTTAGCTTGGTGCAAATGCCCCAAAAACGAGCTTCAGGTACGCAATAAATGCTCCAAGGATTGAACTATGCAGGCTTCGGGTACCTGGGTCAGATTCTACCTGGCACGAAGGCGATCATGATCTGTTTAGGGCTTAGGGTTTAGAGTTTAGGTTGGGTACTGCCTCCACTCAGTAACAGTCTATATTAGGGGTCCTACTAAGTATATATAACCATATTATAATTATTATCCAACTGTTACTGAGGGGGGGGCAGTACCCAAAGTTTGGGGGTTTGGGGTTTAGGATGGGTGTGGGGTTTAGGGAGGCGGTCCTCTGACCGGCTATCCTACGGACATCCGTCCCTGTTCCTAGAGCAGCAACTTGAGTGATAGTATACTAGGATATAGGGGTTTTGTGTACCCTAAATATTAGGTGCCTTATTTAGAAGAGAGATCCAAAAGGGGACAATAATTTTGATAACCGCCCAAATGGTTCTTCAACGGATGAAGGCCTCTGGTCTCGCTATACTCCTTTTCGCAGGTTTGGGTACAGAGTTCTGACGCATTGAGATAGGACTTGCACTTTATTTTCCATTATCCCAATATGACCCCAGCATAACCCCAAATATATTCCTAAACCCAACCCCTAAACCCTACATCCAAGACCCTAAACCGCCTCAAATCCTACTAACTGAATCCTAATCCCGAAGCCCTCGCTCCTGAATCCTAGATCCTAAACCCCAAACCCTAAATAGTCGTTTCCATTTTATTTCCCATTATCCCAATATAGCCCCAACATAATCCCCAAATATCCCAACCCCAACCCCTAAACCCTACACCCTAATTCCTAAACCTAAACCTCAAATCCTACTCCCTGAATCCTGATCCCTAAGCCCGCGTTCCTGAATCCTAAAAACCTTCCTTTTTATTTCCCATTATCCCAATAGAACCCCAACATAACCTCAAAATGTCCCAAACCCAACCCCGAAACCTTAAACCCAACACCCAAAATCCTAAACCCCAAACCCTAAACCCTAATCCTCAAATCCTACTCCCTGAATCCTATCCTTAAGCCCTCATTCCTGAATCCTCAAAACCCTAAATAGTAGTTTCCTTTTTATTTCCCTTCATCCCCAATACAAGCCCAACATAACCTCAAATATGTCCCAAACCCAACCCCTAAACCCTAGTCCCTAAACCCTAAATCCTAAATCTCAATCCCTTACCCCTAGCTCCTAAGTCCTAATCCCTAAACCCTAACTCCTGAATCCTAATCCCTAAACCCTAACTCCTAAATCCTAATCCCTAAAAATCCCTAACTCCTAAATCCTAATCCCTAAACCTTAATTCCTAAATCCTAAACCCAACACCAAATTCTCCTATGTTCCTTCAACCTCGGCGTTCGGACGGCCCAAGCCGGAGCCTGAAACCAACTCAGCAAAGTTGGCCCTTGTATGGTCGCGATTAAGGGTTCAGGGTCTTTTTACTGAAGTTCTTCCATGAGCAGTAAATCTTACTACGCTTTCATTACTTCTATTTTTGTTTACCATTATCTTTATCGCAGTTAATAATACTGTCCTTTATTGCTGGTTATGATTACTATTACTCTTCCTATTCCTATCTTTACTATGGTGGATATTTAATATCCTGCACGATCCTAAGTACCCTAAACATTGGGAGTTCTGGTACCATAGTATATCAAGGTCATAGTATCATTAGTATTATTTACCATTAGTCATGAAGGCGGCTGGCAACACGTGGCTCGTTCGTGCGCTATCTGGACAGGTGGGGTGTCAGGACAGGGTTCAGGTGATACCCTCAAACCCTAAGTCCTTAACCCCTAAACCCTTAACTTTAAACCTTAAAGCCCAAGCCCCAAACCCTAAACCCTGAAGTAGTTCTTTCGGGAGGCAGGTCAAACAGGGCTCAGGATTTTGGGCTTTGGGGTTTGCAGTCTGGGTTTTGATTGGTACCTTGTTACCGTTTAAGCTATAGTGAAAGCTCCTCAAAGGGGGTTAGGTAGGGTTCAGGGTTTAGGGCTCTTAGGGGGTTCTA